AAAACAAGCTGTGAACACACACCAGAGATAACCTGGTCCCTCAGCCTTTCCAGTGGTGGCACAAACTTAGGTCCAGTTTTGGGGAGGCGTGAGAGGTGGCCACAGATAAAAGAGGTATCCCAAATTCAAAACCAGCAGAGCTGCTCCCTCTCCATGGCTTCACATCCGAACCAGTTTGGGCTTTGCGGGCAGAGGAATAGGTACCTCCAACCAGAACACAACACTCTTCTTGCTGAGAGGCTCTTGGTGAAAATCTGCACATAGAGGCCAACATGGATCCCAGAGTGATCCCTCCCATCAAGAGGTTCTAGGGTTTGGGGCTGGCCAATGGGCAACCTAAATGCCAAAGGCTTTTTATTCCCTCACCTAATCCACACTCTACAGAAACAGTAGGAAGAGCAACAAGCACTCAAGGCACTCAGAACGTGATCCAAGGCTCACCAAAGTCAAGGGAAGACCCCTGTTTCAGCCAGGCTGGGAGCTGGCTGGTACAGAAGTACCATCAGCAGGACCACACTGTTAGCCTGAGGTGGTTGGTCACATTATCAGTGATATCGTATCAGAGAGAAACAAATCTGGATTCATAAGGCACCAGATGAGACTAATTTCTGCTTGAAACAGCTCTTGTGAGTTCAGAACCCAAACTACAGGACCCTTCTTATAAACAACAGAAAGTACCAAAGCCCCCAAATCCGAGGTGCTTTGGAACAAACGTGCTTGAAAGTTGTTTCAAAAGGGAAATGAGGGATCTTTGTTACCAAGAGGTGTTGTGAGATGGTCCTTTGAGTAGCTGCAGCACACATTATGGGACCACTCTGAGATACTGACTTTCAAGATCTTCAGCCAGCCACAAAACCAGCATGAAAAACAAGTTGGATATGGGGTCCTTGGAGCTGGAGTGTTGGTCAGGGTTGCAGTCTGTAGAAAGGCTTGCACTCCACCTCTGGAAGAAGGGAAATTTAGGTTGGATATGAGGAAGAAATTCTTTGCTGTGAGGGTGGTGAGACCCTGGCCCAGGTTGCCCAGGGAAGCTGTGGCTGCCCCATCCCTGGCAGTGTTGAAGGGCAGGTTGGATGGGGCTTGGAGCAACCTGGGCTGGTGGGAGGTGTCCCTGCCCATGCAGGGGGGTTGGGACTGGATGATCTTTAAGGTCCCTTCCAACCCAAACCAGTTTAGGACTCTATGATGTCCAGGCTTACAATCTATGAGGCACCAGGGAACAGGCAGAGTAGCTGCAAGAAACAAAGAGAGAAGTTAATCTGTGGCAGATGCCCACGGAATTGGCAAATGCAAAGTTTCTCTCTGGATAAATCATCGAAGATTTCAAACCCACAAGAGATGGCTCCTGGGACATCTCATGTTTGCACAGGACTCGTTGACTTTTCACTCTTGAAGGGAAAGGATTGGCCAGGGTCTGCTAGTCAAGAGCTGCTGCAGCTGCACCTGGGGAGATGGGGCATTTCGAGGGGAAAATGGTGTTGGAACCTGTTGCAAGGTCTCACCACCCTCACAGCAAAGAATTTCCTCCTAATGTATAACCTAAATTTCCTCTCTTCCAGATTTAATCCATTCCTCCTCATCCCATCCCTCCCTGCCCTTGTCCCAAGTCCCTCCCCAGCTTTCCTGGAGTCCCTTCAGGCACTGGAAGGTGCTCTAAAGTCTCCTTGGAGCCTTTCAAGGTTGTACAAGAATGTGAAACGTGCTTCAGTTCAGCATAACAATACAAACCAGGAAAGGAGAGAAAATAATTGCAGTTGTCCAGCCAGACTATCACAGTAAGATAAAGCAAAGGGCCTTTAAGTGCAGAAACACAGGCAATAAAAATAAAGAGCACATATAGAGGGGAAAGGAGGTTGTGGTAAAACCATGACAGAACAATTAGGAGCAAAGGGAGAGACTTCAGCAAATAAATAAAGAAATGCATACATAAAAGTACTTAGAGCTCATTATTTGCAAAAATGACCTCGTAGCAAAAAACCCCAACAAACCAACCACCCAAGAAACCACAACCCAAAATGGTAAACATCACATTTGGACCAAGTCCTCAAGGCCAAGTTTCAGAGAGCAGCTCAGTATCAGTCAGAGACCGACAGCAGCGCAGGACGTTTCCCTTATCTTGGTTTCTCAAGAAAAACCACCAGTCAACACAGCTTGCAAAGCTAAACATCATTCTTGCAGAAGAAAACAAGTCAGTCATTGGAAGCCAGGACATTCCAGCTCTCTATTATGCCACGGACCATCTGACCAGAAAGTTTTAAGTGTGAAACTCAGACTTCAGCGTGCAGAGACGTGACCCTGCTTGAATCTGGGCTGCTCTGCACAGCAGCAACAGGGCAACTAACTCTTTTGCCAACAACTTCCAACCTGAATTTTCAAATTTCATCTTCACAGGAGGGTAAGAGACCTTCTTTTTTTTTTTTTTTTTTTTTGAGGATTGAGATGCAAGCCTGCCCACAGCGTGCTCAACCTCTTTTGCATCCCCTTTGGAATAAACCTCCATGTATTCGTTTGAGGCTTTACGGTTGGAGCTAAGCTTGGAGGTCAGGAGATGCTCCCTGAAGCTACAAATTAGAGCAGAATCATAAACCCACATGTTAACTCAGGGAACGTGCAAAGGGAGGAGCAAGTATTGGTCCTTATTCTCCCTTCTCCTCCCAGCACTATGGTTGACTCCTCAGCTCCATCTTCTCCCTGATTTACCACGGGCCACGTACATAAAAGTAGGATCTCAGCCCTTATATGGAGAGCAGGCAGCAAGTCCCAGCACGTTCTGATGTGAGGGGAACAGCTATTCCATAAATCTGAAACATGTTCTGGACAACAGTGGAGTTTCCACAGACCACAAGAATTACAGGAATTAACCCCCCCTTTTTTTTTTTTGTTTACAGCTTTTAAAAAGAGATCCAGTGGAGGTCCAGGGGTGTAAGGGGCTATCACAGCACTGACACGACCCAACCGACACACTCCTGGAAACACAAACCCTGCACATGTGGAAATGTTTTGCACCTTCTAAATATAAAAGGAGATTCTCCTTTTATGTTGAAGCTCTCCTAATTAGGAAGAGCTGATTAAACAACTTATCTGGAAAGCCAGTAATGTAAACAAAAGCCTGTGTTTCTGGAGCAGAGGTGTCAAGCTGCCTTCCCTCAGAGGGTTAGTTTCATTTTTTATGACTGTTCATCAACCAAGGTAAACATGTCAGGCAGGAATCACAGCTCACTGAGGCTGGATGGGTTTGTTTCAGAGATCCACACTGGAGCACAGATCCACACAGTCCTTTGCACTCTCTGAACACCTCTGCTGGGTGTTGGTTCACTGCTTTTATAGCACTGCTTTCTCTGTCACCTTCTTCTCTCCCCACTCCTCTTTTTCCTTTGCATTTCTCCCCCTCCCCCTTCATAATTATTCCTAAATCCATACCCCAAACATACCAGCCTGGCTCCCAATTCCTCCCCCATTGCACCACAGACCAGGCAAACAAGCAACAGTCCCAAAAATATTATTTGGGAGGATAATTGCCTCTCCTTCCCCCAGAACTTCAGCAAAGGCCACCTGGGGGGGCTTTCACATCTCCAAGCCACTCTGTGCTGGTTTGGGCTGATGTTGCCACATCTGTTTACACTGAGCCCACTGCTATTCACCAGCACCACAGCCTGATTCTTTTAAACACAAGTTTAGGTCCTGCAGCTTCTCCATATGCCACACAGACCATAAATACCTCTGCCAGAGGCAGCTCAGAGGCCATAGATCTCACACTTCTACTCCAGAGCCTTCCCCATTGTTTTAAAAAATCTCAGCAACGACCTTTTAGTGTTTCATTTGGAGATTATTTCCTTTCATCACAAGACTTCTTCTCTTGACTTCTCCTGAATTAGTTTCAGATACAAACCTCACCTAAGCTCTGGGATTCTCAGGCCTCACCAAGTTTGTTTTATGTTGCTGACAGGATCCTTGTGCATAAATATACATCTGTTTTTATACAAACGTGCAGACACACACATATACATTGAAAAATGATAAGCAAAAAGACAGCTGGATCCTCTGCAAACCAAGTCAAATGTGAGGTCAAAACCACCACGTGGCCTGAGAAGCACTTGGGTCCTAAAAAACAAAACTTACCTTTGAGAAGAATGGCACTGCTGTTCATTTGTGTGAAACCACAAATATTTATTTTTAATGAAAAAATACTTAAAGTGTGCCACAGTGTCCATATATTCCTTTGAATAGTAGTACAAAGATATGTATTTCTGAGAAAAAGTCTTAACACTGTAGAAAATAAATGTGGTTCTTAAATTATGTCAAAAGAAACCAGTAAAAAAGTAATGATTTATACACTGGGATAAAATGAAACAATTAGAGAGAATAATAAATTATAATTACAGTATTTCAAATATTTGCTTCATGCTTTTTTTCAGCATTGGTTTCTAAATGTCTAACAGGCCCTCAGAAGCCAGAAGTCAGGATGGGCTTTCAATGGATGACAGGATGTGGAGCTGAATAAAGTCCTAGAAAAATGACACCACCCTTGGTTATTCACTGATACAGAAAACATCAGCACATGGCAGTTTTAGGTTTGGATCTAACACAGATTTTTGTTAATGGAAATTAATTTAGGCTTGTTTTGTTTAGTTTTGTTTTAAAATCAACTGGTCTTTTGCACTTTAATGAACTGAACAGCAATGATGGTCATTAACAAGGATGTCACCCAAGCACACTGCACACGTGCTCACGGGACACTACACAGTGGGTTGGCTTTTTGTACAGTCCAAGTGAACAGGAATTTGGAATCATTTCAGGTCTGATTAAGCACTGCAAAATGTTGAAACCCATAAAGTGCTTTGAAATACAAATCGTTTTTGCTCTTCAGAAGTAGGAAAAAAAACCAATCCAAACATGCACTTAAACCTGAAACCTCCATGCCACAGATCCTGCAGTTCAACAGCAAGACATGCTTTGTGCCATTTGCTTTGAGATTTCCTCTCCCATCCCCAGTTCAACATTCACATAGTGTCTAAATTGGATTTGTCACTATCTTCTTGGTCCTGTTTGTACATGAAGGTTAGAAGGAAAAGAGCAATATCCAGTGATGACCAATAGGCAGTGTGTGATGTGACTGCAGACCAGTATCTGCTCTCCACGAGACCTTCCCTGAGCTCAAAATCAATCCTGTGCTCCAGTTCCACTAGAAACAGAACAGGAAACAAAAACCTTTGCAGGAAAACAAACAACAGCAGCATGTTTCTCCATGAGCTTTGGGTCCTGAGTCTGTTTGCTGTGTATGACATGTACGTCATCTCTCCCTGTGCTGACATTTAACAACACACTTAACTGAACTGTGGTTTTTAACAATATGTACCTACATTTTTATGCACCTGCATTTAGCACAAACCTAAGAGCAGTGCTTAGAATCACAGAATGGTGAAGGTTGGAAGGGCCCTTCAAGATCATCAGGTTCCAATCTCCCTGCTATGAGCAGGGACACCTCCCACCAGACCAGGCTGCACAAGCCTCATCCAACCTGCCCTTCAACACCTCCAGGGAGGGGGCATCAACACCCTCCCTGGGCAACCTGTTCCAGTGCCTCACTGCCCTCATGGGGAAGAATTTCTTCCCGATGTCTGACCTATGTAAGGGAGAAAAAAAAAAAGAAAAGAAACTAAAGCTTGGAAAAAGATGGCATTATTTTTTAAGCAGCTGTTTTCCTTACAGTAACAACATATTTATGCTCCTTATGCTAACTACACAGAAGCATCCAGCAAATGTTGAGGCTCCACTAGGAAACATGGACTTTCTAAGGTGGATGCTCAGAACTTTCTGAAGTAAATGGACCTCTCACATCTTTAATGGCTACACAAGGAGACTCCACCCTGTATTACAAGCCCTTTCTGAAAACCAGCTGTCCCTACACAGAGCTAGCCCTTTTAATTTCCAGATGATTCCATTTCAGCAGTTCTCCTTTCATTTCAATGGTGGGTTTGATTAATACCACATTCAAAGCAATTTTCACTGCATGTTTAACTAGGCCGATGTCTAACCTATTGTTAAGGGACTTCAGTGGTTAGAAAATCTCTACAAGAGAAGAAAAAGGACAAAGCTAAAAGCCTGCTTAGCTCCAAAAGCCAAAAAAATCCATATTGAGTGAAAAAAAAATAATAAATGCAGGCATTTATCAAAGTCAGTTTGAAGAAGGTTTAATTCTTGGCTCAAGGAGAGCAAGGAGTACAGGGATCAATGGCACCAGCGCTGCCTCGGCTCTCATGGCACACGACCTGCCTTCATCTTTCCCCAGGGTCTTGTGCCACTCTGCCAGCACAGAAAAGGAGTTGGAGCCTTGGAATACCAGGAGAGGACCACAGTCATTCCCACTAAGACACAGATTGCAAAAACCAGTTGCCCTGCAAGGAAGGACAGCCCGGATGAGAGGCGGATCCAGGAGCTTGGGAGGCAGCCAAGTCCTGCTGCAGGCCCAGTGCCTGCTCCCAGCAAATCCTTGGGTGGTGGATGGTATCCCTCCTCTCCCAGCAAATCCTGGGGTGGTGGATTGCATCCCTCCTCTCCCAGCAAATCCTGGGGTGGTGGATTGCATCCCTCCTCTCCCAGCAAATCCTTGGGTGGTGGATGGTATCCCTCCTCTCCCAGCAAATCCTGGGGTGGTGGATTTTACCTTGCCCTCTCCCAGCAAATCCTTGGGTGGTGGATTGCATCCCTCCTCTCCCAGCAAATCCTTTGCTGGTAGATTGTATCCCTCCCAGCAAATCCTTTGCTGGTGGATTGCATCATTCTCAGCCTCCCTGGCCTCTGCTCAACATTCTCCTTTGGAGCAGGGATGGGCTTTCAGCAGAGGGGGATGCAGGAACTGGGCAGGAGGCCCTTGATGTGCCAACCTGTCCCAAAAGGACCTCGTTGGCAGCTCCCCAATATTTGCTGTTGTGCCACTTTGGTTTCCTCAAGTTTAAAACCAGGTCTCTGCCCTCAAACACTGCCTCAGCCAGGTGATCTGCTGAAATTAGTACTGATGAACAGCAATGGATCATGTGAATGCTATCACAAGATACAACATACTTGTGACTCTTTAAATTAAAAAAAAAACAACAACCCAACCCCACTGGCAAGGGAGCCAGTGAGAAGTTTAGAAAGAAAATCAAGTATGAATTGCTGTAAATAAAGTACTTATATTTTAAAAACAAACCCAAAACCAACCAGCTGCTAAACTTGCAGTTTCTGTTCTGGGCAGTTCAGCTGAGGACAAGGGCAGCTCCTGTTTCCAGTCATACATGTCTTTAAATCCAGATTGCTTCAGAACTGCAGACGTATGGGGAAGTTTAAATAAATCTGTTTTATGAGAAATGGTGAGTGGGACACTCTGCAGCAATTATACTGCTTCTCCTTGTGGGAGTTTAGGAGCTACTGATGTGCAGATCTCATTATCCAAAGATCATACCTGTGTGTGTTTAATGTTTGGTGGATATATAAGTGCAGATAGACATATACATGTTGATAAACCTCCTTTAAAAGAAAAAAGCATTAAAAGGAGAACAAAGAGTCACTCCTTGGACAGTCTTATGAGATTAAAAAAATCATAGAATCACAGCATGGTTTGGGTTGGACGGGACCTTAAAGACCATCTAGATCCAACCTCCCTGTGTGGGCAGGGACACCTCTCACCAGCCCAGGTTGCTCTTGGCCTTGAACACTTCCAGGCACCCACAACTTCCCCAGGGCAACCTGTTCCACTGTCTCACCACCCTCACATTCAATAATCTCTTCCTAATGTCTAACCTAAATATCCCCTCTTCAGGTTTTAACCCATTACCCCTTGCCCTCTCTTGCTACAAGCCTTTGTAAAAGGTCCCTTCCCCAAAAGCAGGAACAGCTTCCACATTTATCCCTCCAGAGCCAACCACCACCATGAACTAGCAGCATTTGTTGTAAGGGCACTTCCAGCCTCCCAACCACACATGGATGCAGCCCAGGGAAGGTCGGGCTTCCACAGGGTGTGTCAGGTGGACTGGTCACTCACCGATGGGTTCCAGAAAGCCTGAGCCACTGTGTGGGAGAGGTGGTGTCCCCACGGGGGTGGCCTTCTTCTCATCTCCTTCGCCTCCGTCTTTTCCCGTCTCCAGCGTCTGGGGGGTGGTTGTGCTGGACCGACCAAACCTTGAAAACAGCATCCCGCCCAGGCCCTTCCCAATACTTGCAGCTCCTGGGTTCCAGCAAGGAGAAAAAAAAACAAAACACAACAAAACCAAACCAGAAGCACAAGGGCAGCTGAACCAAAGGCGCAGATGAAACTCTCTGGAGCGCACGTCAATTAGAGCCGAGCGGCAGGCAAAGGAAAACACTCCTCATGCTTTTCTGGGGTGGGAACAGCTTAGCTCACCCATGTGTACACTGCTTATCCTGAGACTAATCTAGGGTCCAAGCAAAGGCTATCATTTGGAAACTGCTGTTCGGGGGACAGAAATACATGAGCAATGCAAGAATTCTGGTCCTTTTGCAGATATGTTGTGGTTTCATGAAAAGGCTACGAGGCAAAAATCAGAACAGTTGTACCTTCTGCACAAAGAATCCCACTGGGTTATTTAAGACACTTCCCATGAAGGGTCCTCTTACAGATATTTACAAATGCTCTTATCATCCTTCAAAAGGAATATTTTGGTTGCTCAGGAAGAGGGGTGTAACAGTTTTAAGAACAGACCTGTGATGTTTTCTCCTGACTTTGCTGCCACCTTATGGACAGGACATTAAAGTTTCTGGAGTAACAGCAAAAAGCAACCCTGCTTTGCAGTACTGCCTATTTCCACTTAAGGACTAAACTGCTTTTCTGTACTTATTTGATTGGGAAGACTCCTGGCACACTGTCACATCAGCCTGCATCCAAATCCCACACAGAGAGCTAAAGAGAAGCCTTGAGTCAACAAAAGCTGCGAGTGCAAGCTCAAATATAAGCTCCAGTGAAAGTGAATTTAAGCTCAGTTAAACCAGGGCTCCTTTTGAATCAGAAAGCCAGGAAAGGACAGACTTCTTATTAAAACAGACTGACTTTCCTATTGTAAAATCACGAGTTTAATGGAACTGTAATAGCCTACATACTGTGAGCTTTCTTCTATTTGCCAATACCAGAAAATGTAGTCATAAAACAAGCTTTAAGTTATTTTTTTTTCCCCATGAAGTAGAGTGGAAACTATGAAATCACCAGGATGTTACTTCCGTAAGGCAGACAACAATAAGGCAGCAAGAGCATCAAGTCCCACATCCTCTCCTTGCAAGCCAGCATATGTAAACTGTCTTTTCTTCAAAGTAAATGTCAGCTGGGATTAAAACAAGGCATGTCCAAACTATGCAGGACAAACTGAAACAGCCAGGAATAGCTTGCTTATAGTCATTGAATGGTTTGGTTTGGAAGGGACCTTCAAGATCACCCAGTCCCACCCCCTGCACGGGCAGGGACACCTCCCACCAGCCCAGGCGGCTCCAAGCCCCATCCAACCTGCCCTTCAACACTTCCAGGGATGGTTTTGGTTGCATCACAACCAGTGAAGCCCTAACAAGAAGGTCCTATATAAAAAACAACTTTAAAAAGGCCATAAGGAACAGTTACCTAATATACTTGCTTTGCCTATGTTTGTTATGGACTCCCCGTAGTGGCGTCGAACCATGACTGGTGAAGTAGTTGGGCTGGGTACAGCTGAAGCACTTTCACTGTCAGTAACTGAGGTAGGTTCTTTTGTTGGGTTGAGAAAACTTGGCTTCATATGCTCATAAGGTAGAGGGTTTGCAGTGTTATACCAGTGGATCTGGACAGGTGAAATGTTGCTGTAGTGTTTCAGAATGAGAGGCTCTAATCTATAGGCCTGCGAGAGGAATTCAGGAAAGAAAATCCTGAGTGTCAAGACTGCAAAAAAAATAATAAAAATCACATTCCCTTCCCATACTGAATCTCTCCAAACTCAAATCCAAAATATTTGTAACAAGTGAAGCCTAGAAAGTGACAGAATAGTTTGGTTCACTTTTATTTTCACAGCCTGGAAGATACATTAGTTGCCCAGTTGTTTGTGCACTCATGTTTGCACATTTCTCTGCAACACTCCCACTACCTGTGTTCGTCACCAACACACAAGTTACTGTTAATAGATGTTTGTTGCTCTGCATTGACAGAGCAAACTTTATATTATATCCAGTTAACCTGATTCTGCACATCACAATGGAGATGGGGCAACTGCCTATGTAAAGATTGTTTGATGATCCCTGTGCAAACCATGAATGGATCTGCTTATTAAAAAAACAAGAAATCCTTTTCTATTGATGCTTTATTTTTGTTTACTTAGATGTTGAGAAGCATTCAGTACTTTTTCATTAAGTGCAGAATTAAAACTTAGTAAAGTGACTGTTTGCAGAGTGGAACCACAGATTGCAACCTGACCAATAGTCCTAAGAGGTCCCAGGAAAATTCTGGTTTTGGCATAGCTGGAGCTGAACAAGATCTTGAGATGAGCAGAACCAGCATGTTTGGATTGATGTCTGAAGATAATCAGATGGAGTTGAGATGTAGGTGGAGTTGAAACACAAAAACACCTCCAGGTTATTATTCTACAGGAAGGATGAAATCCCAAATGAACCTTGCATCAAAAAAGTTGCCAAGGTGATGCAGATCAAAGGCCCTTTGGTAACAAGGAAGAATATAAGGACAGGGTGAAGCTAGATCAGCACTCTACTACTCCATCCTCTTAACAATCTGTTCTTCAGGACATCTTGGGGAAAAAAACCACAGTGGTTTTGCTCTTCTGTAACATCTTGTAATTGGTATTTTTTGCTTAATGGAAGTCACCAGGTTAAGCCCACATTGGAACTTGGTTGAGAAGGATTATGGTCTATGTTTTAGCAAAACACCCCCGAAAAGCAGAGTAATCTCAACTCTTATGCTTATTATTATGAAAAGAGAAGAAAGACCTAAGGCAATTCTATGTAAAAACTGTTATTCTACAGTTATAAAACCCAAGACATCGTACGCAAATCACAGAATCAGAGAATCACACAGAATATTAGGGGCTGGAAAGGACCTCAGAAGATCATCAAGTCGAACCCCCCTGCCACAGGGGGGCAACCCCCCTGCCACAGGACCACAAAAACCCACCCAACTATGGCAGATTGCTCAGAAAGGCATCCAGACAGGTCTTGAAAGTCTCCACAACCTCTCTGGGCAGCCTGTCCCAGGGCTCTGTCACCCTCACAAGTTCTTCCTCATGTTCAGGTGGAACTTCCTGTGCTTGACTTTGAATCCATTGCACCTTGTCCTCTCACAGGGCACAAGTAAAATGAGGTTGTCCCTTCCTTCTTGATACCCAGCCGTCATGTATTTTTAGACATTAATTAGGTCCCCCTTCAACCTTCTCTCCAGACTGAAAAGCCCCAGGTCTCTCAGCCTTTCCTCATAAGGCAGGTGTTCCAGTCCCTCAAATTGTCAACGAACATCATGATGGAACATCTTTGAAGATCACACATTATCACACAGCTGGTGCTTAAAACCAGTCAAGGTAAAAGCTTGCAAATGTAATTAAAACTCACCACTGGATCTGTTGGATGGAAAATATTTAGTAAGCGGTTACAAATGGTTCTGGGCAGAATGTGATCTTGACTGCCACTGTTTCCTGGCCGGATGCCACGCAGTGCCAAGAACACTGCTAGTGGAGATCCCATACAGAAGAAATTCTCAACCTAAGGAGAGAATTCATCCACATTAATAAGGATGGAAATACTGCTTCCCAATGTGGCTGGATTTGATTTCTCTTTCAACTGATTTCTTGGTTCCAGGCCAGGAACTTGTACAACATTAGTAAGTCAAAATGGGATGAGCACAGTAACATAGATACTACAACATGAAGGGCAAGTTTCCCATTTCCCTTTGCTAGGAGAAGAGATACACATTGTGAGGCTACAAAGTTGGAGAACAAGTCAGATATGTGAACTGAAAGAGATCTACCAACACTGGGAAAGGCTGAAGGGAGAAGGATTTGGAAGACACTAAGGAAATCACAGAACACTAGGGGTTGGAAGGGAACTCTGAAGATCATAGAGTCCAACCCCCCTGCCTCAGCAAGACCAAGAAAAACTAGGGCAGATTACTCAGAAAGGCATCCAGATGGGTCTTGAAAGTCTCCAGAGAAGGAGACTCCACAACCTCTCTGGACAGCCTGTCCCAGGGCTCTGTCACCCTCACAGCAAAGAAGTTCTTCCTCATGTTGAGGTGGAACTTCCTGTGCTTGAGTTTGAATCCATTGCCCATGGTTCTATCACAGGGCACAAGTGAAAAGAGGTTGTCCCTGCCTTCTTGATGCCCAGCCCTCATATATTTATGCACATTAATTAGATCCCCCCTCAGTCTTCTCTTCTCTAGACTGAACAGCCCCAGGTCTCTCAGCCTTTCCTCATCAGGCAGGTGTTCCAGTCCCTTCATCATCCTCGTAGCCTCTGCTGGACTCTCTCAAGTAGATCCCTGTGATGAGTTTCACAAGACTGAAAACTGGTTTCTCATGAAAATTCCAAAAGAATAAGCAAGTCCCAATTCAATGGGGAAAAAAAAAAGCAGCTAGTTTTTCAGCAGAGCTATTCAGTGTCACAGGCTGCAAAATTGCTCTGTCACCTGTATCGTCACTCTGGTCTAGTGCAAAGCTGCTCTTCTTTCTTATCAAGCTTTACAAACACCCTTAAATTTGTGCAGGCTGGACAAAAAGCTTTCTCATCCTTAAATACAATAGAAACAGGTATTTGCAGTGCAGTCATTTAAACTGGATGAGTAACTCGAACCTCATCCATCTGGTGTTCCTGTCCCCAGCACCTGGAGGACACAATTACAGACTTTCTGCTTCAGAAAGAAATCAGAAAGGAACTGCCAGCTCACACTTGCTGGCAGATGCTTAAAAGATGTTTTCATGAATTCACCTTAGGCAAGAACAGCCCCAAAATCTCAAAAGGTTTGAGCAGTTACATGGTGTGTGGCTTCTGCTCCATCGCTTCTATAGATAAACACAAGATTAAGTGTCCACAGAACAGGTATTTTCTTCTTGGAGGACACAGTTCTTTGCTGTGTATTTTCTTACAAGCCTTTCACCATGGCCTTCCAGCTCTGGAAATGCTTACAAAGACAAAGGACCATTTGGTGGGTACCTTAACGGGTGGCACCAACACCAAAGCAGGGAATGCTAAAAACCAAAAGTCAGCCTTCCAAAAATAAAGCACTTCAAACTGCAGCCACCAGCCTGGCAGTGCTCTTGCAAAGTGGCTGAAGAGAAGAGTGCCAAGCCATGAAACCTACTGGGAATGGGGGACTAAAATCTTTCTGGAAAACATTCATTCATGGTGGTGTTTCTCCTAGGAGCAGGAGTGAGGCACTTCACACACACTCCTGAACACGGTCAGCACCGGAGGAGAAAGGTTTAAGAACGTGACGTTCCAGCAGAGCACTTTTCTCCTGGTTATGATTAATGACCAGAAGACCTAATGAATTTTTTTATTTTTTTTTTCATTTTAAGCAGAAGCTGAGCCAAAAAGTCATCCATTTAATTTAAGGCTGCAGCATTTTCAGAATTAAAAAACAAAGGGGAAAAGCTGAACGAGCCAAGAGGAGAGAGGCAGCACAGCTCTTCTGTGCAGAGCTACGTGTGGGGGCCAAACCAGCAGCTTTGGTGGTGATTGAAACAGAAGGCACAGAATGTGATTACAATTTACATTTCCGTGCTGCCTTTTGGCCTGGAGGATCCCAAACATCCTCCCAGAGTGAGGAAATAGAGACCTTTGCAGCAGCCTCTACCCATTCCAGCAGGCAGGAATGTTCTGCGGCCTCAGCAAGGAAAACGGAGGCTTCACACCAGGGAACTGAACTGGGCAGTTGTGTGTTGAACCTACTGCAGCACATTTCTGCATTCAGTCTGAAGCCTTCACCCAGTCAGGGAAGGCTGCACGTCACCACCCCATTAAGCTCTCACAGTTCTTGTGCATGTGGTTAAACCACAAGGATCTTATCAATAATTTGTGATAGTTGTTATCAACGCTGACATGACTGTCAGATGATGCTGCCTAGAAACCAGAAGCTCAAGTACAATCTGGAGCTTCTTCCAGAAGAGCTTCTGTAATCCTGGGTGAACAAGAAGTGCTAAGGGATACTGAAGCACTTTGGGCCAGCACATTGGCAAGTCCAGATTTAAATGAACTTCCTTTTCAGTGCTAGGGAGCAACTGCCCTATGTCCTGCCCTCCTCTCCCCCACAGTGGTTGAAGATCATCCTACAACAGGGTCATTACCACGCACCACGGAGTCATAGTGAGGCAGGTATGACACCACTACCCATCCTGCCATGATCTTCAGCCCCTTTAGCCTTTAACTCAGATTCCTCTCACACAAGTGGTGAGGAGAAGGCTGCACTTCTAAGCTTTAGTTTTACAACAGGCTATTGGTGGTGTGGCTTTTAATCTACTCAGGTCCTAATGACTCAGTTTATTCAACTGTTCCATCTGAGAAGTAGAGGAGAGTGCACCATAAAGATGTTTTCATTCTGATGGCTTGTCCACTCATAGACTGGTTCAGGTTGGAAGGGACCTTCAAGATCATCAGGTCCAACCTCCCTGCTATGGGCAGGGACACCTCCCACCACACCAGGCTGCACAAGCCTCATCCAACCCGCCCTTCAACACCTCCAGGGAGGGGGCATCAACAACCTCCCTGGGCAACCTGTTCCAGTGCCTTCCTACCCTCATGGGGAAGAGTTTCTTCCTGATGTCTGACCTAAATCTCCCCTCTTTCAGTGACATCATTAGACTACAAGACACCCTGTATCTCCACAGGTCTTTTTTTTTCTTCCTCCTCAAAGGGTCAGTCAGATAATTTCCTGTAATATTAGACACCAGCCAAGTTAGCTGCTGGATTTATTCTTCTGCTGGTCTAGCCAAAAGCTACCATTGTGCTTGCTCAACATCAGGCAAGAGTAAATCTGCTTAATGGAGGAGTAGTGACTTTCTCCCATCCTAAGAAGCTCAATTAGTTTCAGTCCATAAAAGAGGGAATGCACTGACAGTGTCTGGCCCTTTTCATTAAGCTGTCCCCATTTTGTTGTGTAATGCAGCTTAAGGAAACCTGTGACACACTCCCATGTCCTGCATGACACACCAAAGTCATTTGTGGATCAAGCACTTATGGTGAATAGCAATTCATGATCAAACCAGAGTTCTGGTCTGCCATGAAGAGCCAAGGTTGGGACCTACACAGCAGTTACTTCTCTTTCAACAAGCTCTTCACCCTCAGTGAGCTGGAGTGGCTGGTGAGCAAGTATCTTTCAGGCACCCTGTTGAAATCCCCCCTTGGCAGAAGCACTTTGCTATCATGTCCATGGAAAACCTCTCTCTCCCCTGGAGCTCTGTCTCAGACATGGCACTAAAGCAATGGGAGTCAGAAGTGTAAAACTTCACAGAAACAAAACATCTTCCTTTCAGGAAGGGTAAGAAAAAGAAATGTACTGCAGTTGAAAGCTACCTAGTAGTCATTTGTGCTGATACAGTCCTCTTTTCTTCCCCCTTTCTTTTCCCCCTCCTTTCCTGCTCCCTCTGAAAAGCAGCTGTTCAAAAAAACCCTTCAATTTAAACACAACTGAGTGAAGAATAATCTTTCACAGAGCTGGAGGAGTATCAGCCTGACTCCAGCTTCCTTGATGGCAGAGATAATAGCATGATACATGCTTCTAAGCAGGGAGGAAAAGAAAAAGGCTATGACAAACTGAATTATAGTTAGTTTCCTCTTTTTTATGGCTTAAGATTGACCTTGGCTTCTAGGAGTCATTCTGAACTCAGGAGGAAAGAAAAATGGCAAGTTAAGGAACAATAATCTATTTTCTCTTCATCTATCATGTCACATTTTTACAGTTTAATTTTCCAGGATATCCTCAAGCAGCTAGAAGGTGTTGCACATCCCACCAAGAAGCCAGAAAATGGCTTTTTCCCAGTGATGGGAAATTGTAGCAATTTATACAGCTGACTAGCAAGCCATCTATTTCATGAAACTAAAAGTAACTTGTGCTAACTGTCAAACCAGTGTCATTTGGAAGGAAATTCCACTGCTGGAGGAAATTCAATCAGATTTGCTCAGCAAATGTGACATGTTAGAAGTAGTCCCTGAAGAAAATGGATTACTTAACAAAGTAGAAGTGAAAATTGTTCAAGATATTTGATTAATGTAATTTGCCAAATGGCTTTTACTTTCTGACATACTCGTATGTGTGTAACAAATTAACAATCTACAGGTTTATCTATTTATATAAGCATATATATTTGTAAAAAATAGGAAGATATAAATCCAGTAACATGTTTACATGTGTCCATGCACTTCAACCAATACAGTAAAATTATTCTACCAATATCAAGTCTAGGGATATGAAGAAAAAGGTAAATAGACTGAGTTTACAGATGTATTTTTACAACAAGTGGAATATTCAGTAAAAACCTCTTGAACATACATACCTTAAATTTTAAGACAGGTGGTTTTGATATGGTGGATGCCTTTAACCCATGTAACCTCTCTTCTATCTCTCTCAACCTGGAAAATAGAGATCTTTCTGAGATCCAATTAAAAATGCTGCCTTAACCTCTCTGATCCAAACAGGCATTCC